CCATGTTTTTGAGTTTTAACAGTCATAATTATCATAAATCATCATAAAAAACCTCAAAACAATATACAATTTTCTTTCTAAGTGGTATTTCTAGAAATGTTGTTTTCAAGATTTTTCTTAGTTTGGGGTCATTCACAAACAATGCCAATAATCAAGATCGATGTCATATGCAACTATCAAGTATTATATATTGTTAGAAAGGTATTGACTTAAGCTACAATAAACAGGAAACAGAACTGAAAAATATTAAGTTAAACAAAAGTTAGAGTCATTTGAGTGGTGCAAAAAACATACAAGTCATCAGATATCAAATGTACCCGATATCTCGTCAAATTTTGAGTTTTTCGAAAAAATATCTTTGCAGGTTGTCTTTAAATATTATTTGCAATTAGAAAACATTACCAAACTTTTCTACTATGAATGATTTGTTATTTTTAAGAGAAAAATCAGTTTTTGGCTTAATATTTCACGACTTACACAAACCAATTTTTCTCAAAAACGTACCTTGTTATTTCTAATGTTTATACAGTTTTACAAACTGTATATCAAGAGCTATATTTCTGTATATTCAGTTACCTGGAAATCGACCTGCTAAGATAGTTGCGGCACGTTTATAGATATTTTTCATAGGATTTTCGTACATTTCCAACCATACCAGCACCAAAACTGGAAAGTTAAAAATTTTACAATACATTAAAATAAAGCTCTTATATTGTTCTTATAGGAACCGAAAACAATTTTTCAATAACTTTAAACATTGCAGAGATTTTTAAGTTTAAATATGTCATGAAAAAACCAGTTTTTTTGCTCATTTTCAACTTCAAATAGCTCTAGAATCTCAAAAACAGCACAAAATGGTCTGAAATTTGGCATGCAAGTCTAATTTAATGTCCTCTACAAGAAAAAAATACCCCGAGAACCTAAATTGAAAGAGTCCTATTTTCGAAGTGAATTACCCCTTTTTTTCAATTTTGCCCCATAGTGCTGTATAGTTTTCTTGGAATGTTTGTCAGAGTTGAACTTCCTTTTTTGTTTTGAAATTTTTTTTGAGGTTATGTTTTGAAAAATTTTTGAGGTTATGTTTTAAATTTTTTTTGAGGTTATGTTTTGAAATTTTTGTAGTTTTACTCGTTTTACTTAAAATCCTTAAAGATATTTAAATAATAATCAAACTTGAAGTTTCCATCCACTTCCTTTCTTCATTATTTATAAGCAACAAAACACAATTTAAAGTCCTTGACAAGACAAGATTCCTTCTCTTTTAAATCCTTGATGCCTTTAAGTTGTTTTTTGTCCTCATTCCATATTGTGCATCATTAAAATATCTCGAGAAGCATTTTACTTGAAAAATGATTGGAAAATGTGCGAGTAATGTTGAATGAGTATGATAAAGGATGTGGAGAAGCAGGCAGAAAAGGGATATCGATTTATCTCGGACATTTTTTTATATTGATATTGCCATTTTTGAAGAAGAAGTTGGTTGTATGTTTTATGGAAGGGCGATTGACTGGATGCTTTTGAAGATAGGTTAAGAAATGAAATTCAAATTTTTCTGTTGATTTAAATTGTCGATTAATATGGATCAGGGACGTAGCCAGGAATTTGAAGAGGGGGGGGGGGACAAAAAAAATTTATATGGAAAATTCAGAGGGAAGGGGGGAAATTTTATGATTTTTTCATAAAACTCCTAGCAAAATGAAGATATTTCTGTTAAGGTCGGGGGATTTCCACAAAATCCCCCCTTCTGGCTACGCGCCTGATTTGGATAAATGCAATACCTCATGAGACATAGACAACATAACCTCAAAAAAACTCATCTCAAAAAAACTAATTTACCAGACTTTTTGAGCTAATCAATGTCCAAAAAATTTCTCAAAACCTTCATGAACTTCTTGATCTTCCAGCTTTTGAGCTTTATGTACTCTTCTTAATCTGACACATGACATAGGTATAGAAAAATTTGATTCTCATTTTTCTTTATTGACCTTTTATTTGAAAGCCTTAATTGCGTAGGAAAAAGGCGACTCTCGAGCATCCCAATGAGTTTTACAATCAGGAGTCGTTTCGATATTCAGGGAAATCCTCAAACAAATTCTAAAACTTTACAGAAAGGATCAAGAGGTCAAAGATGACAATTTTTTTATCACATAATATCAGAACATTCACTTATTCAAGCTACTAAAGTATATGTTCTAAATATTACTGACCTAAACGAAATGTCACTTTTGAAACCCCAAAAATGCTGACCCATAACATCAGATTAAGCTGTAATGTACTTAACAATTATGAAGAACAATAGAAAATCATCCAATTAAAATAAAGTCAACCCCAAAATGAAAACATAAGCTCATTTGGTTGACAAAAAGCCGTCATTTTTAAGGGACGATTGTATCGTAATAAAAGGAACAAAAAGAGTGGAAGGAAAAAGGCATTTAATAATGATTCCGATGAAAGATAATGAATGAAAGAAAAATATTGAATTTATTATTTATTTTGTGCCTGTGACAAATTTCAATAAAATTCAAATTCTATTCAAATTATTCCCCCTTCCCATGTGCCATTGTCAATTCCTTATTTTGTCACTTCCAATCTTACAATTTGATTGAAAAATAATAAAATCACAGACACTGTCACGTCACATATCTCATGCAGTTCATTTCCTTTCTATTTACATTCTCTATCTTTATCGAGTCGAATTGAATTGTCATCTTCATGCTGCATACATAACCAATATTTGTTATTATTGTAAGTTCGAGTATCAATGGAAATGCTAAAACCTTTCATTATTAAAGTGAATGGAAAACGATTGGAAAGGATGAAAATAAGTCAAGAAAATTGCCTGCCTTGTCGAAGTTTATTGGTTCCTTGGGGAGAAATTAGGATGAATTATTGAAGAGTTTAACTGAGTTGATGTTGCTGGATAAAAAATAAGTGAAATTTGTTCTTTTTTGGGAACAGAAGTTTTTTATGGGAATTTAGGGGAATTGCACATTAATTTAATTATGTATTAAGTTTTACTGGCTTGTTGGACATTTATAGGAGGTACAGATCATTATAATGCGATCATGACTTGGACTTTAGGGAGTATATACTTCCTATTTAAGAATCAAGTGTAAAACTTGAGTTGTAAATTCAATAAGCTACATTTCTGACCTCATAACACGAATTTCAATACCCTCAACATTATGTCTCCCAACGCCATACTCAATTTTCTTCAATTGTCATCGATTTTGTATCCTTCGATATTATTTAAGTACTTAGAAGATATGAGAGCAAAAAGGAAATTATTTTTTGTGAAAATAAAAATTCAGTAAGTGCATCAAGTTATGGTTTTCAATAGTACTTTATTTGGACAGCATGACATCACCCCTTCCACTCGTTCATTGGTATTCTTTCAGATTTACTGACCCTGTTCATTGAGGAAAGGTCATTTCCATTTTGTGGTTAGAGATTTTAAATAAGACGAAACATTTTATTTTTTTTTTTGTGTTGGGGTTGAAAGGAGAATTTTTGTGATTTTCTTTGAAATATATTGATTTTTTTCATTTGGTTGATGCTGACTGAGCTGGGAGTTTTATTTCTCTTGGATATCTCTCCTCCCACACAGCTTGAAAGCCACAATCCTTCTTGAATTGAAATACACTAGAGCGGTGGATCCAAAAATCTTATTTTTAACTAAATCAACTTGGGAGTGCTCTTATTAAATCATAAATATTTGGAAGCCTTGTTTAATCCTTCAACAACATCTTCAACTCCCCATCCAAACCCATTTATCTTCACAATCAGTTACAAATGTGATAAATATTCATCAACATCCTTCATACAAGCAAAATCCTTTCATAATTCACATAAATCTTCCAAAGACCTAAAATCTCTTCATAACAACAAATAATGTGACAAATTCAAAGCTCTTCCAGGAACTCGTCGGCACAATTGTTATCTCAGCTCTTCAGAGACATGAAATTTCCAGAAATAAAAACAGAAAAGTTGGCATCATTTTTCAAAGGACTCAGAACCTTACCTTTTCATCCTATAGATTGAGATACTTTTGAGAATTCGCAACACCTAAGCTCTCTACATCATAAATTATTTCATGCTTTGAGGTGTCTATTTACAAATTTATCAGTAAGAATTTTTTTCCTCATTCACCCTTAAGTTCGAGATTATCACATTATCGGTATGCAGTAGAAAAGAAAACATTCCTTTCCTTTTAAGGCTGGCTCAAACTTTTACTTACAATATTATTTTCTCTCTTGCAAAGTTCTTATGCTGATGGCTTTTTGATGACAAGATATGCTCGTAAATAAAGTTCTTCTTTGCATTTTTGTTCGTGTATTTTATCCGGAGTAATTGAAAGGACTAAAAGGTAGACTTAAAGGGGTTGAAGAGAGCACAAATGTAAATAAGGCGGAATTTTTTAATATAAACTGCTTATGTAAGTCAATAAATAGATAAGTAAAGATATTGAAGACAAAATAAACTGAATTGTGAGGTAATGTATTTAAAATGTTAGGTTAGGTTATTGAAATGTGAATAAAAGTGAAGACAAATGAGGCTAGGTTAAGAATAAAAGAAGCTACCATGCCATAAAATGAGGTTAGAATTTAAAAGATTGAGGTTATGTTGAAAAATAAATTAAAGTTACATCACATAAATACGTCATCCCTCAAAATTCTCATTCTCAATTACCTCACAAAATTCAACTTCTAGTCTCAGATCTCGCAGATTATATAAAGCAACTCGAGGAAAAACTCAATTTAGCTACTTCAGAAAGATAAATTTATTATCATGAAGCACGACCTACCCCTTGAAAAAATAATAAATTAAATAACAGATCATCACAATAAATTATCATAGTTATGCTAGTTCAGAACAATAGCTTGTAGCATAGCATGGCAACATAGCAATTTCATTGAATCCGCAAAGTTGAAGATAAAATAAATATTTCAAAAATACTCACTCGACAGATGGTTCGCGATGAAATTTAAACATTATTTTAAATGTTGCATCAATTTTCAGAAAAGAATGTTGAAAGAAAGATATTGAAAGGATCAATAAAGGCAGACCAGGTGTGTCCATTTTTGTGATGCTTGACTGAACTCCAAAATATTATTTTTTAAAGAAACAAAAAAAAATTCTTTTAAACCAGCAAGAGATTCATCACCTGTCCTCACATCAATTCTCATACACATCTAGTCGACCCGTGTCCATAGATTAAATTTGTGAGCATGTATGGGGCAATAAAGATAAAGTACAATGAAAAAGTTTTTTTTTGGCACACGTTCTAATAAAAATGTTTTCTTTCTATTAAATTTCTTTCTATTCTCCTTAAATTGCTAAGTGACATTGAAAATGCATGGGAATGAGCTGTATAAAAAAAATGTGATCGATAGCGATGACACAATGAAATATAAGCGGCAAGTTTGAAGGTTTTTTGCGGGTGTTTGAGGAAAGGTGAGCGTGGTTCACTGGGAAGGAGATTTGTTAATTTGTTTTAAAGTATAGCCTGACGTTTTTATGGGCAAATTAAAAAATATGAAATTTTTTTTGCATGATTCTGACGTTGAATGAGTAGCCCAGCAAATAAAACTGGCAAATATAAAGTACAGAAACCATTGGTCAACTTCCAAAAGGAGGTCTAAAGGCCCTCAAACCCCCAAAATATTCAAAACTTCTCAAAACCCTTTAAATACCTTCAATCATAAAAATAACACATTTAAATTCATTTAATTCAATTGGTAAACACATTCAATTCACAATTTATTTTTATCTTCACTCCGCATAGCACATCAGTGATAATCAATTGAGTGTATTATATTTTAATACATTGAATCATACAGAAAAAGACATGTGATACATGCCTCAAAAGGTTTCAATTCTGATAAATGATTATGAAAAATTATTGTGTTAATATTTTATGTCTGTTTTGCTTAATAACTTGAAGTTCCAAGAATTTTTTTCTTTGTAATCAAATTTAACACAGTTATTAAAATGCAGACTTAATTTATATCCATCAGGCATTTCCGTTTTTAAGTCGACAAAATGTTGATAATTAAATTAGTCAGACATGTCCAAAAATATTGAAATATGTTAATATCTGGTGGTGGTGGGTGAATATTTGGGAATGGTTAGTATTGTCTGATGTCCATCAGTTGAGTAACTACAAAGTTGAAAGGATTAACCTGGACGTCAATCAGGGAGAGTATTGGCTTAGCTCTAAACTGCTCCTAATCATTCCTAAGCTATCATTAATTGATCATAGTCAAGGGCGTCGCTAGTAGGTTCTGGACCTATGAAGTGGAGATTATACATCCATGAAAACCACGCTAAATAAAACCAGCGACAAAGAAAAAATTAAAAAAGAAGAAATTATCATATTTCTCTTCTTCGCGCCTCAATAACGGAATTTCACTCGTTCATGCACGTTGAGTGAATGACTTGACATCAATATTGATGATAATAGGCTCATTCCGTATCTATTTGTTTACAAAATATCCAATATAGAAAAATATCATTTGCTGACTTATTTTTAACAAAAAAAAAAATAATAATAATAATTTTGTGATTTATGACATTTTACAGACACTCGAGTTCGATCGTGAGGGATTGTCAAAGCTAAAGAAGGCAGCAAAAGCAATTCATAATAGTGGCAACGTACATGTCGAGAATGAAATGTGTTTAGTGCGTGCGTTAGAGAGATTAGGAACTGTAGCTTTATCGAAAGAGGAGCCCGACATTGGGGCTGCATTTCTTAAATTTTCCGTTGTAACGAAAGAATTGTCAGCATTAATGAAGACCTTGGTATGATAATCTCGCATATTTAATTGATAATTTAATTTAAAATGTAAATTTCATATTCTTCGCAACAGATGCAGAACATCAGCAATATCATCATGTTCCCTGTCGACTCCCTCCTCAAATCAGAACTAAGGGGTGTGAAAGGCGAGATGAAGCGACCTTTTGACAAAGCAGCAAAAGACTTTGATACAAAATATCTCAAAATTGAGAAAGAAAGAAAAGCTCAAGCCAAAGAAGTCGGAATGATACGTACAGAAATATCAGCCGCTGAAATAGCAGAGGAAATGGAAAAAGAGCGGCGCGTATTTCAATTGCAAATGTGTGAATATCTCATAAAGTTTAATGAAATCAAAACCAAAAAAGGCATTGAATTGCTACAACATTTAGTTGAATATTATCATGCTCAGAATAAGTATGTCGAATTATGTTTCTTACGCAGTTCTTTTTGGATCGCATGTGCGGCAGTTTGGATGTAAGGGAGCTTTGATCTGAATTTAGTTTATTTCAAGACATAGAGTTAAATTCAGTTCGATTTAGCTTCAAATTCCAAAATCTTTTAAATTTACAATCTCTTACTCCTCGAAAAATGCGCCCTTGCCATCCAAAAATTTCTTACTTGCCAAAAAAAGGTTTCCAGCCAAGAATATAAATAACATTTTCAATTTTCACTCTCATTCTCACGTCTCATGTAGCTACTTCTCCGATGGTCTCAAAACAATTGCTCATTTTGGAACGTATATTGAAGATTTAACGATGAAGTTACAGATGATTCGTCAGAAGCAGGATGAGGAGAAGAAAAAGCTCATTGAATTAAGAACACTTCTTCGAAGTACACCGGATTTTGATAGAGTAGAGGTAATATTCTTATTTCCTCATTATTTGGTGTCATTTTCATTTCTCTATTTTCTTTTCAACAGAATGTAGTTACAGATAAAGGCACAGCATATAGTCTTCATCAATTACAAGGTGATAAGAATCATGGTGTGACAAGATCGGGACATTTATATAAGAAAAGTGAGGGAAAAGTGAGACGAGTGTGGCAAAAGAGACGCTGTCGTGTGACTGAGGATGGCTTCCTTGACATTTATCATGCGGATGAGTCGAAGCCACCAACACGTGTGAATCTACTAACCTGCCAAATAAAACCCGTACCAGATGACAAGAGAAGCTTTGATCTCATCAGTTATAATCGGCCATATCATTTTCAAGCAGAGGACGAACAGGACCAAAAAGCATGGATGTCAGTGCTTATAAATTGTAAGGAGAAAGTCCTCACCAAGTCCTTCCAACACGAGAATCACCAGCAACAAATGAGTCCAGGATTAATGGAATTACAAAAGACGCTTATACGTTACATCCAAAATATACCCGGAAATGACCAATGTTGTGACTGTGGCTCAAGAAATGACGTGACATGGATCAGCATAAATTTTGGTATTATCGTTTGCATACAATGTAGTGGAGTTCATCGTGATCTCGGCGTGCATCATTCACGGATACAATCATTAACATTAGATAATTTAAAGACAGCACATTTATTGATAGCACGTGCCATGGGCAACAATCAATTAAATGAGATTCTAGAGGCGACACTCGGCAAGTCAATGAAAATACATCCAGACTCGAGTATGGAGGAGCGATATGACTTTATTCGTGCAAAATATGTCGCGAAACGTTACATAATGCGAACATGTTCTGATGAGATTGATTTACGTGCAGATTTAGAACAAGCAGTGATTAATGCTGATCTCAGTCAACTACTACAAGTGTGGGCAGAAGGTGCTGACTTTACAGTGCCATTACCATCATCCGATTATGGTGAGAATGCACTTCACTTAGCCGTACTTCGTGAAATGGGATCATCACTTCATATTGTTGATTTTCTCATACAAAATATGCCACCGCAAGGTCTCAATAAGCCAACAAATCCTCAACCGAATGGTGCAAGTGGTGACGATGGAAAGATGACACCATTACATTTCTGTGCGGCATATGATAGACGAGAATGTATGAAGCTTTTATTGAGATCTGGCGCTGACATTGAAGTTAAAAATTCAAGTAATAAAACATCACTTGATCTTGCTATTGAGAATGGCCGTGATGTTTGTAAAGAGATGTTAGAGCAAGCGATGCGACGAGAGAAAGGTGCATTTGATCATATCAACACAGATTGGAATCTACCACCACCACATGATGATGGATCTACAGACTTTTCCGATGATGATAATGGACTTGATGATCGCGTAAGTTTTTAGTGGACATGCTGTTAACTTTTCTTTATATATTCTTCAAAATTCTTAAATGTTCTGGTGGAATCTCAAAATTTTTTACTTTTCAACGAGGGATTATGATTGATTGGATTTGGATTGCCTGCTTTAGTCAGTTAAGGTCAATGTGAAGTTGGATCAGTGTCTGATTTGATAAAATCTGACTGTGCATCAGCTTTATAGTTGTCATTTGAATATAACTCAACCTTATAAAAGCAACAATCTGAACACAATCAAGGATGCATCCCTCATCCTCAACTTGCAATATTTATTGGCATGAAAAATCTTTTTTGCTCATCCATTCAATAAAATTTAACCAAAATTGTCCCCTAGTTTTGGAATGCATCTCGAACAGAACAGCATTTACATAATTTTTTTGTCATTTAGCCGCATAGATGATAAAATAACTTTTTTTTTGCTTGTCGTAACAACATTTTTTGTATCATTCATCTCTCTTTTTTAACTGCCCAACCCTGCATCATCTGGATCTCTACACCTATACAATAAATATCTATCTCTATCTTTTTGTATTTTTGCATATTTTTTTTTCTTCCCCAAAAACAACTTTTTTTAATGAATTCAATTTTTTTTTGTACATCCATCGTAACGATGAAATTTTTATTTTTTGTTGTGTTTGTAAATAAATCCCCGTGCCAATAAAATTATGAAATAAAAAAACCATGTAAATAAAAATCCTATAGAGACGTACGTCACGTCCCCCTAGTTTCATAGGCGATTCCCCGATCACATTAAGATCCCGCTCGTCCACATGTGACTCAATTAAAAGTGGTACAAGCCCAACATTCTCAATAAATTCAACGAATTCCAATCGACAGATTTCTGGCTTTTCTCATGGACTGGGTACGAGTCCCAAGCAGCAGATGAGTTTTCCACAGTATGGATCGCAGAGTGGAACTGGCGCATCGAGTCCCAACTCAATAACTAGTCGTTCATCACATTCTTTAGCAAGTAATCAAAGTCGCAAGACTACTGCTGGTGAGTATTGGGGGGTTTGGTGTAGATAAAGCTCTAAGTTGTCAGACTATCAAATTTTGGCGACCTTAAAATTCTAAAATCATTCTTATGCATCTCTCGGCAACGATCAAAGAGCTTGAATCTCATAAAATCACAAAAGTCCCGCAAAAAATTCAATAAAAATGTTTTTTCCAACTCAACAGTCGTAAATACACCATCAGCATCAGCTAAAAAGCGAAACGCTCCAAATGCACCAAATAATTCACAACCACAAGCCGTCTATGGAACCCTACCACATAGCGTCGGTCGCTATCAACAAAATTATGATCTCTCAGATATATACAGCTCCAATTCAACACTACCACATCCAGGACGGAACTCAATGATTGAACACCAACGGCAAAATAATAACAACAATAATAACAATAATAATAATAACAATACTGTAACAGCAAATAATAATAAGAATCAACAATCGTCGAATCAGCAACACTTTGATAATAAAGTGTACGAAAGATTTGAGCCATATATGATGCAGGCCAATAAAACTAGTCATAAAAGATCACCAAGTAGTGATTCAATTACGAGAAGCATTCAATTGGGTGAGTAGATAATGGAATTTTTGGGATGTGTGGGACATTTTATGGGCTTTTCGGGTATGTGTCTTAGAATTTATTGTTAAATTGGAATCAGAGGTGAAACGTGGTCGTTTTTTTATGTCTAATTTGTTTGGTATGGCCATAAAAGTTATCAAAATATCTTTAAGCATTGTGCTTGCCAATTTTAGGAACAAATTGAATATTATTTATGAATTTATTTCTAGCGGGTGCCAAACTTGTTCTACCACCGACCGGAGAGATTCCTCCAAAGCTTAAACCAGTGAATCGACCACGATTAGCACCACCACCAGGTCCACCAAATAATGGTAATTCTATACCGACATTCCAATTACCATAATTTAATTTATTTTATAAAAATCAATTTTTAGATAAATCAATATCGAATGGTCAATCAAGTGAAAGTCTGAATTCATTAAATGATGGACAAAATACATCACGCGTACAGTCAAATACACCATTGAGGAAGGTGAGTGTGAATATATAAATATATTTTTTTTATGAAGGGTAACACAATATGCATATTCTTGGGTTTATGGTAATGAAAATTTATTTTTTATTGAATGTTTTATTAAATTATGAGATTTAGGGTAAGGTGAAGGATAGTGAAAGTCAGTCGATTGTGAAGAATTTGTTGAGTAAGGATGATGTTCAGATTTTTCAATATTATTGCTTTATTGCTTCAAAATTTTCTTTTGATTCTTGCTTTAAAGATACAAAACCTGCATTATAGTTTAATTCAAAGACGCGAATTAGACTTAACATTCGCATCAAAACGCCATATTGTTTAAAATTTCGCTTCAAAGATGCAAAATTAGTTTGATTTTTGCTTCAAGGACGCATTTCAATAGCTTACATTTTCGCTTCAAAGACGCAAACTTTCGCTTGAATGAAGCAAACTTTCGCTTCAATGATGCAAACTTTCGCCACAAAGATGCAGATTAAATTAAATTTCTCAAATCAAAAATACAAATCTTCTAAATTCTAGCTTCTGAAATGGAAACTCGCTGAATTTCAGCTTTAAAGATGCAAATCTATTCAAAAATCCACCTTACCAAGTCAACAAGATTCTAATCCATGCAATAACCTAACCATTACCATAAATTCCAAAATTAAAAGATTATAAATTTATATTCAACACCAGCAGCAACAACAACAACAACCCCTGAAAGCCATAAAAGCAATTATCATAATCGTCTCAAATTTTCATTTCAGTCATTTAATGATTCAATAACAAATTCATATGGTGATTATGGAAAATATGGTGAATTGGATTCATCATGTAGTACAATGGATACATCCAATAATTTACATTCAAACAGCAGTTATTTAACTGATGAAGGTTCACCCCGTAGCAGTCCAGGTGGTGTCACAATACAGCCAATAAATTATGTAAGATATACATGACTTGATAATTATAATTGACAACTGACACTTAACTGTAAAATTACATATTTTTTTTTGTGTGTTTCATGTTAAATCCAGGCCGGCCTTAAGAGATGTCGCGCATTATACGATTGCAATGCTGATAATGATGATGAATTGGAATTTAAAGAGGGTGAAATACTTGTAGTGCTCAATGAGCGAACGGATGATGAGAATTGGATGGAAGGTGTAATTGAATCTGATCCGTCAAGGCGTGGAATGTTTCCAGTTAGCTTCGTCCACATTTTACCCGACTAAACTTTATTATCATGCTAGCTACTATGATGACTATACTGTAATGATACAGACACAGACATATACACACTCTCATTATCAAAAACATGAAAAAAGATACATAAATACACACATAAATATGATATTTATTGAAATTGATGAATCAATATGAATTGACTGTAGAAAAAAAAACTTTTTTAGATTAGAAATTGTCAAGAAAATTGAGCAGCATGGTCACTGGATGTGGGTGGCTAAAGCGCATTTTTGGGGGGTGTCTTTATGTTGGTACAATTGAAGTTTAAATCCTAGTTTGGCATTTACATCAAAAAAAAATTGAAGAAGTTATTAGGGGCTCCAAAAAATTATATTTATCCAAGGACGTAACAAATATTGTGTTGAGGAAGGATTCTAACCTCCCCCGACCCCCTCATTTTATTTTCACTCGTCAAACAAAGCCCCAAACCCCCTTAAAAAATGCGCAACCAAAAAAACAAACCTTTTTATTCCATATTTATTATTGAAGCATGTTTTAGAAGAAATGGACACATTTTATGACATTTCAAAATGAAATTTCAAAGAATATTAAATGAACAAGAATGAAAAAAAAATAATTCCAATCTATATAGTGAAACAAAAAACCCATAACATAAATGAAAGGAAAAAAAATCACGTGTTATATTATTTATGAATGTAATAAGTAGAAAACTATTCTAATTTATTGAAGATAATAATGTAACTAGACTAGCGAATGAGATGAAATGAAGAAAAAAATTGGAAGATAAAAAAAAATTAACATAAAAAAAATCATATATTGTTGTCTATGCGTGAAAATATTTAATTTTTTACTACCCATAACATTCATTATGTCCCTTTTTATAAATCACGTGTGTTGCTTTGTAAATGACAAAGTTATTTTATGCATTTCTGTTTCTTAATTTTATTTAAATTACTATTTAATTTTTTTTTGTTTGTTTTATCTTTGACTTGTGAATACTCTATGTCAGTCACACATACACACATACATATGATTATGATTATTATTATTATATCTACTAGGAATAATTTAATTGTCTTTTTTGTCTTCTGTGACTTTTTACTTCCTTTTTAAAAAATATTCTATTTTGTTGAACTATTTGATGAATAAGTGTGGAGGTGCTGGGCATGTTAGGGAGAGTAGATGTGTAAATTTGACTATTGAAGTCAAAAATGCTCATCAAAAACTGAATTATGACTAATCTCCATAGTCCATAGGGTCAAATACATATAGATTCAGGCACCACCAGCCTCCCCTCATTGTACCTTTTGAATTTCTGCTCAGAACCTCCAAAATACAAAAAAAGGAATTAATTAAAGCGAATAAGGAAGAAAATTGAAATTGTTTATCATATCGCGAATTTTACCAAATATATTATAATATATTTTAAATAAACAGACACAACATACAGCATATGAATTGTATGCGATTATTTTATTAATCTATGTAAATTATTTAATTATAATTAAGATATCTTTTTGTTATTTATATAAAGACATAATAAGTTTTTTTTGTGCCAGTATGAAAACACACACACAACACACATACATAAGAAATGAATCAATTTATTTTTAAATAATGATTTGTTTGAGAAAAAATTTAATACTATTTAAAACAACATGGAATGAAAAATTGAAAAAAAAATGCAGGATATTAAAAAATTAAGAAAAGAAAGAAAAACAAATTGAAAAATAAAGAGAAAAAAATAATTCATTTGAGCTATTCAAAAAAAAATTGTAATTTGCATTTTATTGAACTAGCTTTGATTGTTTTTCAGGATGTTTCAGCTTTTTTAAACTCAAGGACTTTTAAAGGTTTTTTTTTTTTTGAGGAAATTGGAACTTTGAACAATGTCGAGGTACGCTAGAGATCAAGGAAAATAAAAAATGATTTTTCTTAAACTTGGAAGAAGGAAGAGGAGTGTGGGGTGTGGGGAGAGGGGGCAACAACACTTTCTAGTTCCTATTAAAATCCTTTTTCATTGATCTAAATCCGAACATTTTTGAAAATTTAATTTAAAATAACGGTTTTTAAATTTTTAAATAAGCTTTTGAAAAGCTTTAATTTTCAAAACTGCTCGAAAAAGCTTTCAATTTTTAACGGATCCTAATTGCTACACTTTCGAGTATCCAGAAAATTTGTAAGGAAATAGCGAGTTATGGATATTTTCCACAGCATTGAGATGTTATTAAAAATCTTCTAAGCACTGCAATGATCTCACATGCACCTTAGCCAAATAAAGTAACAACTTAACATGATAAAATCGCCTTGCTCCCCAACACATGTTGAGAACAAATACAAAAAACATTCTCAATTGAATTCATTCTCGCAGCAAATAATAAAACAATAGAAAAGAATTCTTTATTACTTATTTTTTTGAATAAATAAATTATGAATTATAATAATAATATCTCATCGTAAGAATCACATGATAAGTTGTAAATAAAATGTTGATGACATCACTTCTTGACATTCATGAAATAAATTTATTCCCATTTTCATATTTCACATTTGAAAAATAGTTATTTCTAAATGGCGTTGGAGGGAAGGTGTCTACAAGCATAACAGCAAATGTAGCAGCATGACTTGCGGCATCACGCACCCTTTCAACATTAAAATATTACTGGCTGTTTTCAATCAATTTAACTTTAATTTAATTACATTCTCAATCTTCCGCTTTTTTTCTTCTTCGTTGTCGTCGTCGAACATTTTCTTTAAGTGTGGATAAGTCGTGATGGTGGCATCAAGGAGAGAGAAATATCTTGGGCTGAAAATTAAATTTTATTTGCATACATGGCCACAGAAATGGATGAAAATTGTATCGACATTTTTATTTTATTATTGCAATCATCATTTTTTTCTGTAATGTGCGTCGATGCTTCTGTTTTATTTTTTTTCTTGTAAGTCGTAAAGATTTTAAACATGCAATATCCGCTCATTCTCTTGTAGACGATGCTGAATCTGATGCGATATGTTTTTGATGCTATTAGTTGTTTTGATTCTTGTTGTTATTGATTGATAGCTTGGGGAATTAATGGAGCTGTGGACTAAAAAGAGGGAGGGGGGGGGGAAAGGTTGGAGGAGGGAGGAGGGAGAGGGTAAAGGGTCAGATCATGAATTCTTTGAGAAAAGTATTTCCCTCAGAGATTCTCAATATAAGTTTTTGATTGCCCGAAACAATTTTAGTCCCGGATTTCCTTTAAAAATGCGCCAAAATCCAATCAATCTCGAATGGCACTCACAAAATCAGCTATTATTATTTTCTTTAAATTTATATATGTAGATCTATATAGAAAAGATATTGCACAATAATTCTCAATTAACATTAATTTATATTTATTCATAAAACAACATAAAATGTTTTATAGCTACTGCCATGTCGGAATAGTGAGAGAGAGGATGAAAGAGAAGACACAGAAAAAACATTTTTTGTAATTTATTTTATACATTATATATATAAGTTTTAATTAATTAATTAAATTGAATGGAAGATATTAATATAATAAAACATTTATGGTAGTACATACATATTCGTTATATTGCCATATTTTCTGTTTTTTTTTTCTTATTCTTAAACACACTCTCTTACTCTCGTCTTTATTCATTCAATCTACTTAAAATATATATTTTGTAGAACATCCATAAATTATTCAACAATTTCCTTCAATATATATATATATTTTAACTAGAAATTGTGTGCGTTGTGTGTAATGAGGATGTGTTAAATGTTATATTATCGTTACTGAAACTAATTTTTGTAAAAATCCTATTTTTTTCAAAAATTTGGTAAAATTTTGAATTTTTATAATCAAGCATTTTTGAATCAAAAATCAATTTTAAACAATTTTAAAAAATTCAATTTTTTGAATTTATTTTATTTTTAAACTGTTTGATTTTTTACTGGAGATCGAAGCCGATTTTTTCGGCTTAACTCAATTTTTGGTAGAAAAAAACCATTTAACACCCATTTTAAGTATTTAAATTGAACTTTACATGCTTTACTATGATTCTGTGAAACATTTTTTCAGTATGTAGCTATAGTGAGCTCAGAATTTCAAGTTAAAGAATGTTAAGCCGAAATTTAAGCCGATCGGCTTAAAATCGGCTAAATTGAAATTCTGAGCTTACTATAGCTACATGCTGAAAAAATATTTTACAGAATCATAGTAAAGAATGTAAAGTTCAATTTAAATACTTAAAATGGGTGTTAAATGGCTTTTTTCTATCAAAATAATCAAAAATTGAGTTAAGCCGAAAAAATCGGCTTCGATCTCTGTTTTTTACAAACAATTCCAGAGAATTATACAACAAAATTAGTTCCATACATCCACATTATGATTATTTTTTTCTCCTCTTATGAGTTCCATACCCCGTCGCCTCTCCATTTCACTCACTCACTCTTGTATTAATTAAAATTAACTACTTACTCCAATATTAATGTTATTTTATTGATTAATATTATGTTGTTGAGTAAGTAAATGGATTATTCTATGTCATAAATATCTATAGACATAGACACGGATATTTATTGCTGTGCTGAAAGATTTTGAGATTATGGGAAAGTTTTTATGAATTAATTTGTATTTTTTGGATGTCAAGTTTTTGGGGGTTTTTCTTTGAAACCCCATCTTTTAAGACATTAAGTGATCCCTTTAAAAAATTCACTGAATAAAAAAAAATTGAAAAATCTTTTTCAACCCGATTTCAACTCGTCAAGTATCTCAGCATCTCATTTCTCTATTTCCACCTCCAATTTACTATTTTTCCATCTACGTCCACTAGAACCAACATTTTTTTTTCTCTACAAAACGAATCAGAATGAAAAAATTAAAATAATCACATTTGTTCCTCACTAATTTATTTAATTGCGATTCGATCAACAAAATGATGGAACCTGCCAGTCAGAACAGAATATAGCATTCTAAATTATTCGTGTTGCAGCTACCTCTCTCATTCGCTGCTAATTTTTTAAAATGTACATAAAATAAAAGAAAAATCCTTCCAATTGACATTTCCTCCTCCATTAATTTTATTTTACATCTTTTTTATGTTTTTTTTTGTCCATTTTAGCTTCCTTGCCAATGAGGAAGTTCCTTTAATCGAGTAAAAGAAATTATTGAAGACATTTTTTTTCCACTGTTGCTTAATAAAAAGCATCCCTTTTAAGATATGTACATCTATTAGTGTAAGGAGGGAGATCGTAGTGAAATTCCAATTCCTTTAAGATTTTTAAATGACTTAAGAAGATGTCTACAAGGATGAGTCAAAGTGCGAACCCCATCAAAGACCAAAACCCGAGCGGCACAAGGTGGCAGGTGTCAGTCATATGACTGTTATATGATCGTTTTGAAATGGCAGATAACAGTTATATGACGGTTATTTGGTAGCAGTTGTATGACAATTTTATAAAACTGTTATATGACTGCCATGTGACTGCCATGAGAAAAAAGTTGATCACAGTTATCAATGTTTTTTGAAAAATTATGAAAAAATTCATTTTAAATCGTGACTTTGAAGTGAAAAGTTCATTTTGTTTTGACCTTTGAAATTCATATCGCTGGAACTTAATAAGTAGGATGGACTTTAGTAGAAGGTGAGCAAAATATTTAAAAATTGTTTGTATATTATTTTAAAGCATTCAAAAGTATTATACAGGAACGAATCTTCTTCAAGATATATTAATTGAAGTGCTCCAGGAACTTTTGATGAATTAAGAGCAGTATCAAATGCTTTACAAACAGGAATCCGCAACGCACGATGGGGCAGAAAAAGCCGAAAAAGTTTATTTAATTTATTTTTTTTTCTTCATCTTGATTATTTTTGTTTTTCCTATACGAGTTCTTTAATAAACACAATCTTTAAACCCCTTAATATTTTTGTAATTTTTTATATTCATATTTCAGCCTTAAATTGCCATATTATTGATTTAAAATTGCCATAAAATTGTCATATCATTGCCATATAATTGCCATTTAACTGAAATTTGATTAAAGAACTGCCATCTGTGCCTGTCATAAAACTGCCTAGAAACTGTCATATAACAGTTTCCGTTTTGTGTCAATTTTTATTGATGGCAGTCATATGGCAGTCATATGGATTACTTTATCATACTATTTGGTTGACATATCGTCAACATCGATAGCAATTATCTGTCATATGACTGCCATAAAGCAGTTTTTATTGCCATCAAACGATGGCAATTGACACGTGGCAGCTGACATATGGCAGTCAAATGACAGTTATATGACACCTTTGTGCCGCTCGGGAAACATTCTAAAATCCATCTACATCCTCAACAAATTTAAAGAATTTCACCCCCAACATGCTTCTTTAAAGCACACCAAAAGAGAAAGCAAAAATATCGATTTAAACCAAAACCAACGACAATTACTCACAGTTCATTGCTACTTACGACTGTGAATCATCCATAAATGTAAGAACAAAAGTGGCAACAACAAGAAGAAATGCACAACATTTTTTGAAATCGACGAGACGAGAAAAAAAAAATGCTGAGAAGATGTAAGTGGATGGGTGTGAGTGAGGAAAGGAATAAAGAAAGCATTCGGCATGACAATAGAATGAAAAGATTAAAGTATGGCAATTGCAATACCGATTCTTTCAAGTGAGAAACAGCAGCAATTTAGGTCATAAAAGGTCCTTGAAATTGCAAGTAATTTCAAAGCTCACTTCCATTCATTCATTGAAGTTTCTCGTCGATGAAATAAAAAATGCAACAGATACCGACGAGTTTTGTTCCTACTCCTTTTCTGAGCATTTCTATGGCTGCTTTCATGTGAAACGCATCATGAAATATGCATTGCATTTCTCAGAAGATGAGAAGATGAGAATGTAAGGAAGATGAGTTTGAGGAGTTGAAGATGGATATGAATGAATTGAATTCAATGAGAAAATGTGAATGTGCAGATTTTCGTGCTCTGCTTTTTTTGCGCTGTTCGTCTTTTTTCATTTTGACAGTATTTTTGTCTTTTACTCTCTGAAGACCTCTGATTTTTTCGGGAAATAGGTCGCAGTCTAGTTTGTTGACCAATATTTAGGGTGATTTCAAGTTGTGAAGCTCCTAGAAGAATTACAATCGGGCTTAGGGACCAAATGCGTCCAAGGTCTAAGAGTCACCTCCTCCCCTTTGTCTAAGAGTCAACTCCTCCCTTAGATACTCAATTAAGAACGTTAATTGACTATTCAGATAAGATCTTGTTGAAATGCGCCCTAATATCTATTCCTAATAATTCTCACAATTTTTATTTTTATTTTATACATTATTTATTTTATAAAAGAGCATAAAACAGCGAGCACACATATATGAATGTATAAAAAATCATAAAATATTGATATCAATTGACTGAGTGAAATGAAACATTTTTGTACTCAGCAGTTTTATATTAAAAATATATGTATGTACATACATTTATCCTTCCATATATATATTCAAGGATATACTTTTTCTCAAGTGCTGGTAAAAGCGGTTTTTATACAAGAGGGCAACATATATGTATTTCCTGCTATTGCATTTGCCGCTCAACTTCCCTTACAAGTGTAAAATTTAATATGAAACTGAGCATTTCACAGTTAGTTGCTATTGCTGCTGTGTAATTTTATTTTTAATTTTCAATTCAATATTCAATATAATATTGAGTGTGTGCGATATTGCATTATATGATGTGATTCTAAAGAAAATAAAAGATAAGAGAATCGTTGGAATATTTACGTCATGCAAAATAACTTTTATGTGTTTTATGATTGATTTATAGTTAAGAGAGCATTTAGTGGTGACATTTGAAGATATTTCATAAAGTTTGTAATAGAATCTAGCCATAAGAGCCTCTAAAACCTTAAGAACCCCTTAAAATATTTTATGAACCCCAAGAAATTAAATAAGTTACATTGAGTGATCAAGATTTTTGATGCCACTCATTTAATGCAATAAATAATTTTTCCACATACCTCAACTGTTTTATTTTTTGTTCATTTTCAACTATTGATCCATTATTCATTAGCAATACTTTTCAATAGATTTTTTACAATATATATATCGATATTCCTGCACTCAATCGTTCACTTATGTGGAATTGTGCTTATAAAATGATTCCATATCATGCATAATTTATCAATAAGTATTATCGAATGCGCTTTTTCAATTTTTATTCATTTTTTTTTCAATATCTACAGAGAAAGAAATGAATTATTTTATAATAAAAAAATTTCTAGCATTTGTGAACTTTCAGGGGGGTTGAAATATTAATGAGAATATCTCGAGAATTTTTTTCATTATATTTTTAAATGGTTTAATGAGCTAATTAATTGCAGAAAAGGTCATTGAAAATATAATAAGGGGATTTGCATTCCAATAGTCAATTTTAATTATGTTGCGTAGTAATTGATGCGTATTTGGTTGCAATGTTGCTGATTTTTGTTGTTGGAGTGCTCAATTGTTTTGTTTTGCTTGCTTTTTTTGCATCTGAAGGCTCATTAGATTTGCCAAAATTTATGTTTATTAATAGTTTTAATTTACACATTTTTTAAAAAAGAAAAAAAAATTATAAATAAAATAAAAACTTTTAAAAAAGGTTAAAATATTTTTTTTTATTATTTTGAAAAAAAAATCAATCAAAACAAAATTTTCAAGCATTACCACAATGAACAGCAAACCCTAACTATCATTATGCTCTGAAATTGCTTCAAATATTTTATTAAAATTGAAACTAGAATTAAAATTTATTATTACAAATGCTTGACATTAAACAACATAATAACAATATAAAAAACAAGAAAGAAAAATAAAAAATTGAAAAAATGTTTCAAATTTGAAGGATAATTAAATTGCGTATTTTTATTATGAATTTCCTGTTACGCTCTTTTTGGTGACAGATGGGTTGGCAAAAAGATGAATTAAAGATTTTTTAATATTTGAAAATAATTTTTTTTTATTTTTAACATTGTCCCTTTCATAATTCTTAATAAATTTCATATGAAGTTGAACTATAGGGTGGATTTTTTTTTTTGATGTTTGAACATCCTTATGAAATAATTAATAGTAGGATAAGTTACAGTGGGTGGAAAAAAGGCGTAAAACATTTAAAGATTTTAAGATCATTTAAAAATAAATATTCAAAAATTAAGTGGCATTGCGAATTTATTTGAGATACTATCTCGTGAAACAACAACAACAAGCAAACCTATTGAAAGTCTTCTGTTGATAAAGAAGTCTGAAAAATATCAAGAACTCATTTTATTGTCGCTTCCAAAAAAAGTATTTTTGTGTTGTTGCCGCGTCTATTCATAAAAATTCTTCAAATAATTTGGCAAAATAATTCCTAAAATTGAACAACAAAATCAAAAATTTAAATAAAAATTTAAAATAGAATATTTTTTTAAAATAAAGCAATATCTTAAAATACTCAAACCACCCATGAACATAATGATAAATTCATGTGCACACAATCATGTGTTAACTACCGACAATATTATCTGTCAAATACAAAAAAAAAATTCATATGTGATAAATGCATGTGAGGAGAACGACATATTAGCTGTAAAAAGGCACAGCGGGTGATCAACGATTCATTTTTTTCTCCTTCTTTACTTACTTTACTTGGACATTTACAGTGAAATAAAAAGAGTTTTTATGAATCATGAGAAATAAATTTATAATAAATATTTTATTATGTCA